CTTGGAAAGATGAACAGCCCAGCAGGCATGGCTCACTGGTTGAGAATTAACCTATGAACCAGGAGGTCAAGGTCCATTCCTGGTCAGGGCACATGCCTGGGTTGCAGGCTAGATCCCCAGTGGAGTGTGTGCAAGAGGCAGCAAATCAGTGATTCTCTCTCATCATTGATGTTTCTATCTCTCTCTCCCTCTCCCTTCATTAAAAATATACATATTTTCAAAATAACAAATAAATAAAAAGATGAACAGGTCAGAAATTTAAAAAGTAGATCAAGTTAACAGAATAACTTACTACTATTAAATAGGATTTATCATAGAAATGAATACATTATTTTAATATTATAAATTACTAACATTAAATATCACATCAATAAAGTCACCAAAGAAAATACCTTGAAATTATGTTAGTAAGCATTAAATACTCATATTAACATGATTACGACTATTTTAAACCAATAGCCAACAGCATTCTTAACAGTAAAACTTTAATGGCTTTCTCATTAAAATCAGAAACAAAGCTAAAATTGTGGCTATCAAAAATTGTCATGTTATTCATGAATTATTGCTTATACAGTTAAGAAAGGACAAAAAGGAGAAAAAACAATTATTTTGAGAAGGAAAAAACATTACACATTTTAAAACCTAAGATCATTAATTGAACTAATTAGGAGCTAAGCTTGTGAGCTAAAATATAAATCTAACATTCAAAAACTTTGTTTTAAACCATCAATAATTATTTAGATTCAATAAAATAAGCTAATATTTCAATTGCAGTGGCATCAAAATATGTGACATACTCTGGGATAAACTGAACAAGTTCTATATATAAAGAAACCAAAATTCTGCTGATACATTTTAAAAGACTGAAACTAATACATATGTTTTTATGAACTTAGATGAACTTAGATGGAGAAAATAAACAAGTTTTAAAGCCCAAATAATACAATGAGTTTGGTTTTGGCATGTAGTAGACAATATCAAGGTTATTCATAAATCCTGCTTGATAATATATGCTTTATTTTTCAGTAAAGCAAGTCTCAGAAGGATCAAAGAAACTTTAATAAATTATTTAAAAAGTAGTAAAATAGATATACTAAGTATTTGATTTTTATATATTAAGAGAGTTTAGCATCTTAAAAGCAATGGAAGAAACCAAAAATTAAAGGGTCCACAAAGTTGATTTTCTCCATTTTAGATAATCTGATAACCATAACAATATAATCTGAAAATATTTCAAAGAAATACGAGGAAGGATTACTATTTTCATCTATAATGAAATCATATAATAAGAAATTAAACTTCAGTACAGAGTTTTAAACCTCAACACAATCATATTAAACAGAAGATCTAAAAGAGGAAATGTTATAGCTAACAAATTATTAGAAAATGAATTAATGTTTCTAATCAATGAAATGCATAGTTTTTAAAGATATTATTCTCATTTCAATCATGAAAGATTCATAATAAAAGTAAAGGTATCAAACACAAGGAAGAGTACACTGAAGCAGCACTCAAAAAGCATTATACATTGTCACAATTTCTGCAGAAAGCTATTTGGTGATATTTATCAGAAGCTTTCAAATTGTTCATGCATTTCACATGGTAATATGACTGATAGCAATCTATCCTAAAAAAAAACCCAAAAAACTAATCTGACAAGCCATTGGAGAATTAATATAATAAAAGAAAATTGAAAAAATTAAAATCAGGGATTAGGTAAAACATAATATTCCGACATGGTAAAGTTTTAATATAAATAGAGAATATTGCTATTTTAATGTAATATTAAGTAGTAAAATCAACTTTATATATATATATACATATCTATACTAATAAAAGGGTAATAATATGCTAATTAGACTGGACATCTTCCGGACGTCCTTCCGGACAAAGCCACGGTGGTGGGGGCTGACGCAGAGGTGGTTAGGGGCGATCAGACCTGCAGGGGAGGGCAGTTAGGGGCATCAGGCAGGCAGAGTGGTTAGGGGTGATCTGGCAGACAGGCAGGTGAGCAGTTAGGAGCTAGCAGTCCCAGATTGCGAGAGGGATGTCTGACTGCCGGCCAGATTGCAAGAGGGATGTCTGACTGCTGGTTTAGGCCTGATCCCAAACCGGCAGTCAGACATCCCCCTAGGGGTCCTAGATTGGAGAGGGTGTAGGCTGGGCTGAGGGCCCTCCCCCCCGTGCACGAATTTCATTCACCGGGCCTCTAGTATATGTATAAAACATTACGAAAGAAGGAAATACTGTTTAGCATGGTTATTTCACTATTATGAGAATGAGCTATTTTCATTCTTCTTTATATATTTTTATAGTTTCAACATTTTAAAGCTAGCCAAACAAATATCCATCAACAATATTTACTTTTGAAAAAATTTAATCATTGTTCAGTGTAGAACTCAAACTCTTCTACTCTTAAAGAGTTCCTATCATAGATGAATGATTTGATTTTTTACCAGAGGAATTGCTCAATCCTCTGAACCGTAATTATAATTCGTTTATAAATTTTGTATTTTTAACTGATTGCATTTTTCTTGCATAGTATTATGTGGGTAAGTCTCTGTTCTCTACATTAAAATATATTAAAAACAGAAGTTGTTTCTATTATGGTTTATCACTTCATTTTTCAAACAAATATGGAAATTGAATATATACACACAGGTCTTGAGATATGACATATAAAAATCACTCTGCAGAAAACACATATAATGGGTGACCCCAAGTGGCAGGTGTATAGGTAGCCAAAATGTGGGGTTAAACTATGCGTTGTGCCATTTTCTTGGGGGGAGAAGGAGGAAGAAAAGACATTATGCTTCTGCTCTCCCAGTTCCTAAATTATAACATCAGACCTGACCTGTCCTTTGTGATGTAACTCCACATATTCAACATGATCTTGGGGGTCTACCACTAGTCCTGTCGACACCTTAAATGCAACACCTAAGAAATTGGATGTTAGATCCATTACCTATTAATCTGTTAATAATGCCTTGGTATAGGAAATAATCAAAGGTCCTATGGATCTGAGGGTCTCATAGAAAAAAAGTAGACTATGTACATGGTGAATGATGGCACAGGTAAAACGTGTGTTCACTAATCCCACAGAGATTGTTTGGGCTATTCAGAGGAGAGAAATAGCACATGCTTGGAGAGGAGTGTCGGGAGTGGCAGAGGGATAAGAGAGAGCTTCGGGGACAACGAAGGGGATGCTGGTGAAATGGAATTTTTGGACTGGAACCTGGATTCTTTGTCCTCCGGAATCGAAAAATGAATCCATGGAAAGAAGGTGGTATAGCAAAGGTGGAATATTATTGAAGAATAAGTACAGACTCCCACATGGGGAGAGGGAAAGAGTCCCACAGAATGGACTCCCACGTGGGGAGGGGGAAAGGGTCCCACTGAGTTCTTTTTCCCTGTGGCTTAGAAAGGCTACAGATCCTGGTGCCTTGATATCCCCTCTGATTGGTCACTATTCCCTTAGACTGGTTACTATAGTAACTCCTGAACCCAAAGGTCAAACACCACATGGAACATGTGATGTCCTCCTCCCTCATTGTTCTTTTCTTCCTTTCTTTCTTCCTTCTTCTTTATTTTGTAAATATAGACCTTTTTGGCTACTTCCAGCTTCCTTGTCTTATGTGAATGCAACTGTGGCTGCTCCCTGCACCTGACTTCCTTGTGTTATGGAAATATACCTTCTCTCAATCTGTAGCCCTGTGTTTTTCCATGAATCCCAATTCTAGAAATTCCCTAAGCCTGCCTATATCCCCCTAAAATTCCTGTTTCACTGGTGTTATCGGATCTGAATATGAAATAAAAGGAAAAGGGCATTGTTCAGGAGTGGATATGCGGGAGAATCACACAAGCAAAAGCTCAGTATGTGAAAAATATAGGCACGATTGTCAATTGCTTTGGCTGGAATGGAGAGTCCATGAAGGAGTAGAAGGACATAGCATTGATGCTACAAAGGGCACAGAAAGCCAAGCTTCTAACCCGCCCACTTATAGCAGCTATGTGGGCACAGGTACAACATCCATCCTTGTTGGTAAAATGGAGTAGCAGGAGTGTGAGGATTAAATAAATCCTGTAAATTTCCCAGCATGTCTCCAGCTCCCAAGACACAGTATCTCTCCTTTCTTCAGTAGGCACTGTGGGGCCACTGAGGTGACCAAGCAAGAGAGAGTCCAGGCCAGAGCTGTGCCTCCTGACAAAATAACCAGGCAGCCGCATGCTATGTGACATTATAAAACAGAAACACAGGGAGGAAGGTCTGTGTGTGTGTGTGTGTGTGTGTGTGTGTGTGAGAGAGAGACAGTGTGCTCACTCCAGTTCTTGAACCTGCCTTAAACTGCACGAAGCCAAGATTTCACCCAATTTGTTTCTCTGAAGAAATTCTCAGCATGTTACATAATACTAACAAGTACAAGGTTCCCGAGAAGGATCGTTAAAAATAATGTGTGATCTGGTGTAGACTAAGGCACTTACTTAATATCTTAACACATGATGAAAAAAACTTATGGGCAGAAGTGTAAGGGTTGCAGCTAAAACTGAATATGCTCATTTAGACAGACTGAAAGGAGCATTTAGCAGCCTAGTCTGAGCCAGGCTAGGAAGCCACAGTGGCAGAGAGGCCACCCTTGCTCTGGGCTGCAGGAACGGGGTTGCTCTTTTGAAACAAGGATTCAAAACAGACAGGGACGATACAAGGCAAGCCCAGATTGCCAGTGGCACCAAACTGATGTCCTGGTTTGTCTGTGTAGTTAGGGAAGACTTCGCTGTAAACAAACTGCTCCTCTTCAGATGTTTCACATCTGCTCAGAGAGGCATTACTGGCCTCTTTGCTAGGACAGGTGTATAGCAGGACCAACCCTAAAACACAGTTATTCTTCTCACATAACTAAAGGAGCCTTAGAGAGCAATCTCTCCACAAAGGGAGGAGAGATGAGGTGAAGATTTAGAAACGTTAATACAAGGTACCAGTGTGATTGGTCAACTCACAAATGAGTCTTCTAAGTCTTACTTATCATGTCAGCACACGAGCAAATTATTTTTCTTCTTGAAAACATCTCCTATCGCTCCCTCTTTAATCTCGATTATCCCTGTTAATACTATTCATGGTGTAGTAATTCCAAAAATGCCACAAGGAAGCTTTTACTATTGGCTCCAATTGTTAATCTCAATACTGTATCACCACTTACTCAACTGTGTTAATAGATGTACCACCTTTCTGACAGACAGGGTTTAAAGTCTATGAGGATGAACACTCATATTTATTAACTAGAGAGTCAATAAATAAATAGAGTAGGGCAGACTAGTGTTTAATAACACCAATTGTGTTCAAATTCTGGCTCCACTACTTCCTCTAATATAATGTCCCAAGCCTCTCTATAATTTAACTCTCATATTTGGAAAAGTGGGAACAATAAAAATAGGGACCTTATAGGATTGTCAAAGCACTCCGTTTCTGGTACAAATTAATTACTCAATAAATTCTTGCCCTTGTATCAGTAAATATTTGCATGCCTACTATGTGTAAGACATAATTTGGGCATTATACATATATTATCTTCATTTCTATAAGTTCTATTATCATCAACTTATAGAAAAGAACATTGAGGCATAGAGACTGAGGCTTATGCCAGGTGATTCAGTTTGAGGTGGCTCAGTAGGAATTCAAAACTATGAATTTCTGATACTCAATATACTCCCATTTTTCAATAAATCATACATCTATTTTTTGCTATTCCATTACTATGTTCCGGACAGTGCTATATTGAATTTTCTCTTTTAAAATCCTCATACAGCCCTTGCTGGGTGGCTCAGTTTTGTGGAGCATCATCCCATGCACCAAATGTTTACAGGTTCCATTCCAGATCAGGGCACATAGCTAGGTTGCAGGTTCAATCCCTGGTTGGGGCACATACTGGAGGCAACTGATCCATGTTTCTCTCTCACATTGATGTCTCTCTCTCCCTTCCTCTCTACAAAATCAATAAAGTTATCCTCAGGAAGTATTTAAAAAATTCCTCATACAAACCTTATGAGATAGGTCTAATTGGTCTCAGAATAATCTATAATAATAAAAGCATAATATGCTAATTAGAATGGACAACCTTCCGGATGAAGCTGGGGCTGGGAGGGAAGCCAGGGTCCCGGGTGCTAGAGGGAAGCTGGTGCCGGCAGCCGGGGAAGGAAGGCCTACTCTTTCACAAATTTCGTGCATCGGGCCTCTAGTAATAATAATAAAAAAGCACAGAGGTAATTTACTTGTCCAAAGTTGCAAATGTTGTAAGTGGGACAGCCAGGACCTGCAGCTCTCTTTATATACCTTCACAGCATTGATTAATGCATATTTCTGGTTGTATACTATATGTCAGACTCTGATCTGGACACAAGAGATATAGCTTTGAACAAAAGAGATAAAATCTTGGCTTTCACAGAGCTTCTATTTCTGGGAGGACACAATAAACAAGTACATCTGTAATATCTCATATGGTATTAAGTACATAAAATTCAGTACGATAAAGGTAATTGGAAGAGTTGGGATACAGCCTATGGACTCAGAGTTTAGACTTCTATATAGTCATTGGGAACAGCCCTATGAATTCAGTGACATTTCAGAGAAAAGACCTAAGGCTGTGAGAGACTTTCATGTGTCTGCAGTCAAATGAGAAAGTAAGGAAGTGGGAGGAAGCAAAGTGAGGGTAGTAGATTAGTAGGGTTCTCTAGGCAATGCTTAAAAGAACATTTTTATCTGCATGAAATGGGAAACGAGTGGAGACTTTTGAGTGAAGAAATAATGCACAATAATAATATATATATATATTTGATATATATATCAAAGTTAGGAGGTTATTGTAGTTTGTTCAAATGAGAGATGATGGTCAATTGTAATAGAGCAAGAATGGTCAAAAGAAGTCATATACTTATAGATAGAACTATAGTATATTTTGAAGTTCACAGGACCTGCCAATGGATTAATGTGGGACTGTGAAATAACAGAGAAGTCAAGGTCTGATCCACAGGAGTGGAAGCACCATTCAGTGAGAGAAAGAGGACTGCAGGAGGAAGTTTCAGAGGAAAATTATGAAGATTTTATTTGGGGCATGTAAAATATTAACACGCAGGTGTTTAGTGAACAGTCAGTACATGAGATATGGGGAAATAAAAGGGTTCATACCAGTCAAAATACTTCATTATGCAGCAGTTAACTGGTGACTCCCAAACCTCCACGGCCCACAGTGAGCACATTTTTATTTCCCACTCAGACTACATGGCCACCTTGGAGCTGGTGAGGTTCTGCTCCAAGTTGCTTTGTTTCTGAGACCCAGGCTGACAGAGCAGATCTGCTAACACATGTCCTGTCTCATCGCAAAGGGAAAACACATGATACATCAGGCATTGGCTCGTAAAGCTTGCAGAGGTGACCAACATAATTTCTATTCTATTTCATTGGCCAAAGCAAATCACCTGGTAAAGTCTGACATTGTTAAAGTGGAGAAGTGTAATTCTCACCTAGAGAAGAGGAGAATGACAATTTAATCAACTACAAGGATAAAGGATAGGGATTTTGGCAATATTAGCATAAAGACACCAGCTAAAGTCATAGTCTGGTGAGATCACCAAGAAGAACATAGGAAAGCATAGAAGTCTGATGCCTGGGGCACTTCAGATTTTAGAGGTCTGGATAAATCAGGAAAATAGTCTGCAATGAAATTGTCAGTAATGTGGGAGGAGAACAGAGCTTGGTGTCCTAGATGCCAAGTCAAAGAAATGCTTCAAAAATGAAAGATTGATCAACAGTGTGTTGATCAAATACACTGAGGACTGGGAACTGACTACTGTATTTAGCAATGTGCAGGTTATTTGTTACCTTGACAATACCAGTTTCTGTAGAAGGATGATTCAAGTGGGTTCAAGAGTAAATGGGTGGAGAGGAAATGGAGTATAAACAACTCTCTCAAGGAGGTTTGCTATAACACAGCACAATGTCATCAGCAAAAAGCTTCCCCTCTTCCTGGGAGAAAAAGGAATGCAATCAAATCAGCAGTGCACATTGATAGAAGCTTCTAGTTCTTAAGAAAAGGATAGATGTCACAGAAACATCAGCAGCCATTTATTTTGTGAACTCTTGGAAGACAGAAGAAATAACTAGAATAACACTTGGGAAATAACACATTTATTTTAAAATGAAGTTTTATCTATTTGTTCATTTCAATTTATTCATATTGACACCAGACAGTCTTATAATAAATCATTCCTTGACTTTCTTGAAAAACTATCTGTATTCCCCTCCAGTCCTTTTATGAGACTTAAGTTTTTTTCTTCTAAAATAATATGTATTGTCATTGTTTGTTTGCCTGTTCAGTTGTAGATAAGCACTAGACTAGGGAGATTGAGACAATGACTATCTTGTGGCACACCTATTATTAAATGTATAACGTATAGTAGTCTCCTAAAATGCTAAGTTAACAAATTAAATCAATTCACATTTCCAGTTCTTTGTCCATTTCTTGTCTGGATTTTTCTCTTTATAGAACTGTCCCAAATAAGCTTCTATTTCTTATATATTTAAGGCCCGTCACCTATGTCGAGGTGGGGGGTTCCCATATAGGTGCTGCTCCCAAGTGGGACATGCACAGGTGGTCTGGACCATCCGCTTGAGGCTTGCGCCAATACCTTCTGGTCAGACACTTTCACAGAGACAGCACCGAGATCTGAGCCGAGCCGGAGGAGAAATTACCAGACAAACAGGTTAGATGCAAGCACACAGGGGGGTTATTTACCAGTTCCTGATGGGTCTCAGATGCTGGGAAGGATCCACCGGCGATGCTCGCTGACACACACAAAGGGGTAGATGGCGCCGTTGGCTGCTGGCTCTTTCGTCGATCTACAGTTAATTGGGCAGTTTTGTGCTGGGAACCGAGATGTGAGCACACACAGGTCCTCAGGCTCTGGCGACAGGAGAGCTGTGAGAGCTGCTGGGTTGATCAGACTGTCTGGTTATATCCCCCTCTGTAGGCGCGGTCTTCTCTGGTGTGTGTGTTATCAGTGGCTGCCATGTGTGGATCCACCCGGGGTCTGCTAATCTATGGGTGTGTACAGGCTTTGGGTGTTCCCATTAGATAGGTTGTTTCCCAGTACTAGTGGGGTTACATGGGTGCATTCTTGGGTCTCACACAGTATTCCTATGTTGGGGTCCAACCCCAGCAGGTCCAGGGGTCCCCAAAGGTGTGGACGGAGTCGGCGAAGAAAGAATGACACGGAGACGGCCTTCAGTTGATCAGCAGCCTAGTCAGGACCTCTAGCCAGGATCTCCAGCCAAAGTTCTGGTCGGGATCTCCAGCCAAGTTCTGGTTAGGAACTGATCAGGATCTGATGTTTATTGTCTTGTTACATCTGTATTTATACCAGTCGATTTTAATCCTGTCAATTTCTATTGCAAAGGTTAGGGCGTCTCTTATCTCCATTCCGGGGAGTAAAGATTATGTAGCTTAAGCGTGATTGTTTGTAGTTAAAGTGATTAACTACCCGCCTGGCACTTAGTTAAGGGGTTGTATCCCCTCCCTAACCTCAGGGAAAAATCCCCACCTGGGGAAACAACCTTTCTCGGAGAGGTGACCTTGGTTAAAACACATGGCGCTAAGGAGAGCAAACATATTAAGAACAATGTGCTATATATGCCAGGTCCCTTGAAACATATGCTGTGCAGATGTTTCTTTCCTGCAGCGACTGTGTCAAGCAGCAAGGATGGACCGGCTTCCGGCATTCCTATATCTAACATTAGGCACTATAATATTTACTATAACAGTCCACACAGGGTTACATGCTTTAAGTCTTACATTCTAAGGTCCTAACATTAAGTACCATAATGATTACTATAACAAGAACCTGACTGTTTTCTGGATTTTGATTGTCACAAGTATATGGACTTTCTCCACAACTGGACAGCTCACAACACACACCAGGGGGGCATGTTTGGTGACATCAGCACCTTCACATTATGATGCAATTTTTAAATATTTAAATACAATGGGATAATTGGTTGGTCATCATTTACTTATCAGGAACCTTCCTCATTTGTGTTTTCATGTTTTCTTTATCTCTACTAAATAAGCCAGAAAAGCCAGTCCTAAATTATATAATACTAGAGGCCCAGTGCACAAAAATTTGTGCACTTGGGGGGCGGGGGAGGGGGGGGTCCCCCAGCCTGGCCTGTGCCCTCTCGCAGTCTGGGACCCCTCGGGAGATAACGACCTGCTGGCTTAGGCCTGCTCCCGGGTGGCAGAGGGCAGGCCCAATCCCTAAGTGCAGCCCCTGGTCAGGCTCAGAGCAGGGCCGATTGGGGAGTTGGGGCGCCGCCCCCTGTCATGCACAGAGCAGGGCCAATCGGGGTTGAGGAGCTCCCCCCTGTCACTCACAGAGTAGGGCCGATAGG